ATGCGCCCGGATATAAGACAGTGTTGAATAGTAGACATGGATTGTCTATTATCCGGGTGTCTCTTATAAACAGGCTAGCCTCATTATAAGACACCTATTTGTGTGTACGAGACAAGGGGGGTGGGTCTACCTGGGACACACCTGAGGGAGCAGAACCCTATGGGGGAAGGGGGTCTACCGGGGGGGGACTGGTACCAGGAAGAGAGGTGCGAGAGGGACCGGGTGGGACGCGTGCGGGTGAAGTCGGTAGTAACAGACCGGTAGTGCAGTTGCAGACCAGCTACATTGTACGGTAGTTGTTCTCCAGAGATAAGCTTTTGTTGGCTGCCTAGATGTCTTGTTTGGTTTAGCAATACCGTATGCGCCCGGATATAAGACAGTGTTGAATAGTAGACATGGATTGTCTATTATCCGGGTGTCTCTTATAAACAGGCTAGCCTCATTATAAGACACCTATTTGTGTGTACGAGATAAGACATATGTGTACGAGACAAGGGGGGTGGGTCTACCTGGGACACACCTGAGGGAGCAGGACCCTGTGGGGGAAGGGGGTCTACCGGGGGGGGACTGGTACCAGGAAGAGAGGTGCGAGAGGGACCGGGTGGGACGCGTGCGGGTGAAGTCGGTAGTAACAGACCGACTCGTCGAAGGTGACGTCCTGAGAGGACAGAACACGACGCGAGGCAGGGTGGTAGAAGCGCCAGGGTGGAGCGTCGGTGGGGAAGCCCAGGAAGACACAGCGGAGAGTGCGAGGGGAGAGCTTGCTCGCTTTGGTATCGCGAACAAGGGAGAGCGCGCCCCAGACCCGAAACGACGACGCATCACCAGGCTGTCCCGTCCAACGGAGTGTGGGCGAGGTCTCTGGAGCAGAGACACGGGGCCAGAGGTTGAGCTGATGCGCGGCGTATCGGACCGCAAACGGCCACAGGAAATGGGAAGCAGCCGCATGGATCATGGAGGTACGAGCAACCTCCATGATCAGGCCAATGCGACGCTCAGCGATCCAACTTTGCTGCGGAGAGGCCGGAAGCGTGAACGACTGGGCGATGCCCTCATCCTGGCAAAACGTCTCAAGGACGCCAGAGGAGAACTCACCACCCCTGTCAGAGTGCAGACGCAGGACTGGAAAGTCACGCCGAAACCGCTCGCGCAGCTGGTGACGAGTAGCACGGATCCAGGGGATCAAGACACCACTGACATCCGCCTTGCGCCGCAAGGGGAAGACTGTGGTGTAGCGTGTGTAGTCGTCAACCACCAGCAGGAAGTAGCGCTCCTGGTCCGTTCCACCGACGGGGGCCGGGCCCCACACGTCCAGGTGGAGAGTCTGCAGAGGAGCAGTGGTCGGAGGAAACTCGGAGGAGTGAGGAGCGGCGCGCTGCCGCCCCTCGACGCAAGGAAGGCACGGCGGCGCAAGCGAGCGCGGGAGGGGGGGCAGGGTCGCAGGGAGGCCAGAGACCAGGAGCCGGGAGTGCATGCCGCGCAGACGCAGCTGCGACGGGTGGCCAAGACGGTGGTGCCAAAGCTGCGCAGGGTGGGTGAGGAGGCGACACGAGCAGGACGCAGCGAGCTGACCGGACGCAGCCACCTGACCAGACGCAGCTACCTGTGCAGACGCTGTGGTGAGTGTGTACAGGTTCGACCCCGGCTGTCGTGTGAACGTAGCCGGATGACGGCCTGTCTTGGCGCATGTGCAGATCGCCACACGCTGACCTCCAGGAGTAAAGGTGTCAACCCATACATCCTGAAGGACGGCGTTGCTCACCAGGTTCGTCGAGAACGAGGGGAGGTGGAGAACGGACAGAGAGCCAGAGGGGACAGCTGGGCACGGGAGGACAGTGGAGTGGCGTGCAACCACCAGGCCCCCAGAGGGGTCCGCCAGTGAGACTGGGACTGGGGTAGTGAGTGGGGTGACAGTGGTGCTGTCGCGAAAGAAGCAACGTGACGCACCAGAGTCAAGTGTGAAAGTGTGCAAGACCTCAGCAGCAGCAGCAGCAGACTCACTAGCACCTGGGGCAGTAGCGACACTAGCACCTAGGGCAGCAGCAGACGCACTAGCACCTGGGGGAGCAGCATCACCACCAGCATCGCATGGCACACACGAGTAACACGCACCCTCAACACTATAATCAGAAACATACATAGCATAGAGAGCAGCATTGATCTTAGCAAAGTCAAGAGCAAACACATCTACCCCCTTCCCTATCAGCTGCAGCCAGTTCGGGACCTGCTGGTCCTCGGAGTACTCAGTCACCCAGGCGTCCTCAAGACGGCCGAAGCACTTGTACTCAGTGTGCGGCTTCCCGCAGACTGTGCCCTTCAGAAGCCCCGTGCGCCGGACATAAGGGCAGCGACCAGAGCCCCCACGCTGGAGAACCCACTCACGGAGCTGCTGGTCGGTGGGTTTGTCCGGGAGGCGCGGCAGCTGCTGACCACTCCCGTAGCCACGGGAGGGTCCACGAGCGCCACCACCCCTGCCAGACCCACCCCGACCTCCTCCACCGCCCCCGCTACCCCAACCGCCTCCCCCACCACCGCCGCCTCCTCCACCCTGTCCGCCTCCTCCACTGCCGCCACCCCCAGAGCCACCCCCAGAGCCTCCACCACCCCCGCCACCACCCCCGCCACCCCCTCCGCTGCTGCCACCACCACCACCCCTGCCCCCTCTGCCCTTGCTGTTGTTGCGCCATCCACTGGGAGCAGACGCAGCGCCAACGTCCTCAGCACCAAGGAGGTCGACTGCAGTAGTGGTAGCAACTGAGGGGAGGAGAGGGGAGGGAGTACACCCTTCAAAGAAAGGGGAGCGGGGGGTGCCACGAGAGGCAGCGACAGCGACAGTGCTCTTCTCAACCTCGAGAAGGGCCTTCTCAAGCGAGTCAAGTGTGAGCTCAGTGGGGTCCATGGCTAGGAATTGGTCCCTGACAGTGCGAAGGGAGTCAGGGAGGCGAGTGATAAGAAAGTAGAGGGTGAAGTACTGCGGGGGGGGGTTCTTAGCGAGAAAGTCCGGCTTGAGAGCGGCACGGAAGCAATCCTCACTAGAGCGGAGGTGGGTAAAAAGGTCAGAGACAGTGCGGAACTCAGCTAGATCGGGATGCAGGTACGGCAGCATGAGACGACCTACAGCAGCAGTAGCTGGGGAGGAGTAGCGAGAAACTACAGCGTCATAGAGATCCTTGGCCGTTTTCTGCCGGCTAAAGTGCGCGCGCTCAGTGACTGGCAGATGGTTGCGGACAGCAAGGCGGGCAGCTGCATCACGTATGAGCCACTTAGACAGATCCTCTACAGCGTCGGCAGCAGGGGGTGGGAGCTTTCCCTCAGTGTGCAAAAATAAGGAAACACCATCCTTAGACTCGCTCTGCAGGAACAGCTGGAGATCGTCGAGCCAGACATCAAAGGTAATCGCGCGGCCCTCAGCATCGAACGTAAGAACTGACAGGTTAGCCATAGCAGCAGTAGCACTAGCTGTAGCAGCAGTAGTTGCAGCAGCAGCAGTAGTGACAGCTCGGGCTGGGCGGCGCGGCTCGGACAGGGCGGCGCGGCTCGGGCTCAGTGGCGGAGCAGCAGCGGCAAGCAGCAGCAGCCGGCGCTCAGTAGCAGCAGCAGCAGCAGCAAGGAGGAGCAGCTGCAGCAGCAAGGAGGAGCAGCTGCAGCAAGTAGCAGCAGCAGCAGCAGCAAGGAGGGGCAGCTGCAGCAAGTAGCACGGGCTGTAGCAGCAGGAGCTTTAGTAGCAGCAGCAGTAGCAAGTGCCGTAGTAGCAGCAGCAGCAGTAGCACTAGCTGTAGTAGCACTAGCTTCAGTAGCAGCAGCTGTGAGTAGCACTAGCTGTAGCAGCAGTAGCGTCAGTAGCAGCAGCAGTGACAGCTCAAGCAGTAGCAAGGAGGAGCAGCTGCAGCAAGTAGCACGGGCTGTAGTAGTAGGAGCTTCAGTAGCAGCAGCAGTAGCACTAGCTGTAGCAGCAGTAGCTTTAGTCTGTAGCAGCTGTGACAGCTCGGGCTGGGCGGCGCGTAGTAGCAGTAGGCGCGCGTGGGCTGTGGGCGTGCAAACCAGGGGCGCGCAACAGGTGAGTGCGGGGCAGCACTACGAGGAGCGCGCAGCAGGTGCGTGCTAGGGGCTGGCGGGCAGCGTGAGTGGCGCGCGCAGCAGCAGGAACGAGGGGGGACCGGGCGTAGGGGCTGACGGGCCGCGCGAGAGGCGCACGGGGCAGCTAGGGCGCGGTCAGGGGGGGTCGCACGTGACTAGGAAGAAAAAATCGCGACTATGGCAGAAAACGGAACCGTCTCGCCTAGGGCACGTTTTCGCATTTCACGTTTCTCCTAGGGGCGCGACTCGGGCAGCAGATCGAAATAGTAGTGGTGGGCCCTTTTAGAAATTCGGTCCTAAGGAGCATTGTGCTCTTAATACCATGTTAGAATCACTAGCTAGGTGAGAATGGTCGATTAGGTAAGGGGGGGGGGTACAACGACTATCGAGAGTGTCTGTTGTGCCCTCTAAGGAAGGAACCCTACACAACCTAGAGTGAAATAAGCATAACAATATGGTTTGACAATGACGGGTAGCATCTGCCTGACCAAATCTCTGGAACTAGCTTTAGGGTACATTCCGCTCTGGACATGTCCCAATCGATTCCACCGCTCCGAACCGAACTAAACCAGTGACGCGAAATTTTTGACAATGTTTGATACTAGGGTGTAATTCGGTGTAATAAGATGCAGTGCGGTGGAATCGATTGGGACATGTACGATTGGGACATATCCAGAGCGGAATGTACCCTTAGGTAATCAACATGCTATGATGTGGACATAATTGATGGCCTGCCAAATGTTACTGACACCACCTGACCTGATATGGAAAGTATCTGTTATAGTTTGTTATTTTTTGTTGAACAATATTTGACATGTATTCTTTTGTTTCCTCCTCTTTTGATGTGTATGTGCGTGACCATGTGCATGAGGTACCGTACTTAGTTCTTCAAAAACCAGATGCATCAAAACCACAGCTCTGCACTAATCTTCTCCCTCATCCATTGGCCTATCGCCTCGACGAGGGCCACCAGCAACCTTGGCCATGATGATCTGCAACACATGGATACACCACACAGCCAAGGCAGGTACGGTATAAGAGGAGTGCCGGATATTATGGCAAGTTTGGAAAGAATGGAGGCACAGTGGTGATGCAGAGGGGGTAAGACCGAAGAAACACAATGAAGCTCAGAAACTGTGGAGCAGGGCATTAATTAAGGAGAAAAGAAACACTGGAGTCTTTGGAAGCAATGTATGCAGGCCGCGTTCCATCAAGTGAAACTGTAAATGAAGCAGTCATGTGCCACTGAAAAGCATAGAGTAGGTTTGCACACACCTGGTCCACTCGAAGCACAGTAGTCACTGCGTCTGCAGCAAATCGAATGGCCCAATACCTGGGGAAATAGAGGGTGCATAGCGGGGCAAGCAAGCCGAATCATTGTGTCATGGCAAGCTAAACAAATGGCTTCACATCACACACAACAGCAGCATGACAACAGAGAGCCGCGGAAGGTGAGATGATGCAGCACGGGCAGTGCATGCCAGAATGAGGGAGACCGGGAAAATGAGGGAAGGGGGAGTGGGGCATAAGAGGCCTACTTGGTAGCAGAAAGACCCTCACTTGATCCTGTCTGTGGTGGGATGTGTGGCACACTCACTTTGTGGCAAACAGGTCCCAGATGTTGTCAGTTGTGAGGTCCCTCACACCCGCACCAGTGACATCCACTCCCACACGGAAATTGCCGCCCGTGCCGTCCGGCCCACCGGAGTGGGCGGCGTAGAGCGCAGAGAGGATCTCAGTGACGTCCATGCCTGCATTCTCTGCCAGCGTGCGCGGAATCACTTCTAGAGCCTCGCTGTACTTGTCTATCGCATACTGATCCAGACTGCGGGGGGGGGAGGTGGGGAGGAGAAATGTGGAAGGGGAGGGGAGGAGAGGAGAGGGAGGAAAGGGGAGGGAAGGGGAGAGGAGGGAGAGGGCGAGGGGGAGGGGGAGCGGGAGGGGGAGGGGAAGGGGGCAGGGGAGGGGGAGGGGGAACGGGTAGGGAGTGGGAGGGGGAAGGGGGATAGGAGCGGAAGGGGGGAATGGAAAGAGGAAGAATCACGCTCAGTGCGTCGTTATACTCGTCAGACAGCGTACCGGTTAATAAAAGAAGGTGAGGAGGGAACCGAGGTGCAGTGAGGGGTGAGGGCAGAGGGCATCCAAGTGATGCCCAGCCTCTCACATTGCAATTCCAGACTCACCAGCAGGTTCAGAACCAGGAGGGTCTAAAACACAACTTCGTTTTGTACATGCCCATGCCCTTCAATCACTCACTGTATTCCCAAGAGCACGCACGCCATGCACCCTTCTCGTTCCCGCCCCCGCCACCCCCCCAGCTCCCCCACTTCTTCCATTCACTCCACCACACACTCCGTAACTCTCTCACCCCCCCACTCACCCCACTTGCGTCCGTGCAAACTGCTTGAGGCGTCTGGCCAGCTCGATCTCAGTCGCCCCTCCCCCAGGCAGCACCCGGCTGTCACGGCACAGCGCCTGATGGATGGGACAACACACACAGAGGATGGAATGCGGTGCAGTGCGGTGAGCGGGGCACTAGAGTCATGCTGGAACCCATGCCACGCCAGGCCATGCCATGTCCATCCCTTTGACCTGTTGAAATACGCCAATTTCCGCTCTGTACGTGATTCTGGCCTTGTATTATTTTTCGGCCAATTTCTCCGATCTGCCTATTCTTCTCCTTGTTCTCTCGCCATCCATGGCTCCTAAGCTCATCCTAACATGCCTCACCTTGTACGTGTTGATGCCGTCATCAACAGCCCGCTCCACATCGTCCAGAATGCTGTCCGTGCTGCCCCGCAGCACCACCGTCGCCACCAGGTTGCCTCCTGACTCGTTCTCCACCACCACCACCTGCGCCATTTGAGGGGAGGGGGGGAGAGGGGGGAGGGGGTGTGAGGGGGAGCTGTATGAACCTCCACTATTACTGCCCCTCAGCTCAGCACCACCGTCGCCACCAGGTTGCCTCTTGACTTGTTCCCAACCACAACCAGCTGGCGTTGAGAAAGTGAGCGAGAGGGAGGGGGAGGGGGGAGGGAGGGCGGGGAAGGGAGGGAACGAGTTTCCAACACCAGCACTGAGTTGAAAAAGCTGACTTTTGAGTCGACTCAAAAGTCAGGAGGGCGGGGAAGGGAGGGACCGGGTTTCCAACACCAGCACTGAGTTGAAAAAGTGCGGGGTGGCGGGCGCAGGGGTTGAAGTGGAGGGTTGAGGGAAGAAAATAACTGCGGGACAAAAAAAAACCAATACACCAGCAGCAGCAAAAGCCACCCATCACCATCACCTCTTCCCCCAACCTCCTTTCCCCCCCTCTCCCCCCCCCTCGGTGCATGCATTAGTCTTCAGAACGCCAGATACAAACGAGCAGCAGCAGCAGCAGAAGCAGAGCATCACTCACCGTGCTGCCGCCTATCTCCTGCACAGAAACAGAGTCTGCAAAGCCCAGCTCGTCTGCTGTTGGCTTCTGTAGCTTCACCTGTGAGAGGGAGCGGCATGGGGGAGAGACAGAGGGGTATGAGGGGAAGGAAGGAAAAGGGAGAGATGAAAACAACAGAAAAACCGCACCACAAAATACGAAGCGGGTTAGTCAGGAGGACGAGAAATGAGTTGTTTGCATACAGGAAAGTACGAACGAAATGGAGGAAAGATGAGCAGAACATTTGGTTTCAACTCCAGAGTGAATCTATTCTCTCAACTCAACAGAAAGACAATACACGAATCCGACATGGTGTTTCAGCCACCTGCACAGAGTATCCGTCTGGTAACAAACCCGCAAAACCAGACTACCGCAACGGACACCTTTCGGCGATGCTAACAAGGTGAGACAAGGTGCTACAAGGTTTCGATGCTAACAAGGTGAGACAAGGCTGAAATGCCAATGAAACGACCTGACTGGTTACCGGATTACTCACCAGGGAGACGGCACCAGTGGTGCGGCAGAACCGTCGAAGCTCAAACTTGGAGGAGATCTTGAGCACCATGAGCCTGGATGGTGGGGGGATGGGGATACACACACACACAGACAGACACCGAGGTGACTTTTGAGTCGACTCAAAAGTCACTTCAGAACCGTCGAAGCTCAAACTTGGAGGAGATTTTGAGCACCATGAGCCTGGATGGTGCGGGGGGGGTGGGGATACACACACAGACAGACACCATGTTGGCTTTAAGAAGATGATGAGATGCACGAGTGCGGAGGGTGTGTGTACACGGACAAGTGCACATTGAGTTGTGCACATTGCACAAAGTGCGCTTACCAACAAGATGACTTTTGAGTCGACTCAAAAGTCATCTTGCGAGCGCGGAGGGTGTGTACACAGACAACAAGGTGTTTTCTACTTTGTGTACACATTGGATTCAAACATCACAAAGTGCACACACCAAGTAGAGAGCGAGATTCTCATTATCTCCCTCCTTACTCCCTCCATCACTCACTCCTTCACTCCCGCACTCACTTGTATCGCTCACAGAAGTGCAGAGCCATTTCGCCCACGGTCTGCCCGCTCACCACCACCGTCGCCCCTGACTCCGCCACCTCCCTTATCGCCTGCTCCACCCTTGCTTCCTCCGACTTGGCGTAATTCTCCAGCTGATGCACAGAGGAAGGAGAAGGAGACAATAAGTTGATGAGAGGGGAAGGAAGAGGGTGTGGAATGAGAGGCATGGAGCTGACTCCGCCTCCTCCCTCATCGCCTGCTCCACCCTCACATCATCTGACTTGGCAAAAAAAACCAAAATGCCACACAGGAGAAGGAGATTGGGGAAGGGGACGGGGAACGGGGAGGGGAAGCGGGAGGGGAAGGGGGAGGGGAAGGGGAAGCGGAATGGGGAGAAGGGGGGGAGAGGAATGGGAAGGGGGAGAGAGCAGGGAAGACGAAGCGCATGGGAAGATGGGAAGGGAAAAGAAGTAGGTAGTGAAGGACATGGGACTTGCAAGCACATGTGCTCTCCCCCCCCTCTTGCCTACTAAACCCCGTGAACTGACCCATCCTCTGTGCCAACACCCTAGCCAGTACAAGTCACAAATACCATTCACATGGTTGGTTAGGTGACTTCCCCTCCCAAAGAGAAGGGAGCGAGCGATGCATGGTGGTGGCGGTGCGTTGCTGTCGGCCCGACGAGAAAGGCAGGCTGAAACATGAGAGCGATGCATGAGCAATGCGCCTTCCGCTCGCCGTCCAATCGGGCCCTCCCTCATTACACGCCCTCACGCTCCCTTTTCCCCACGCCTTCCTTCTCCCTTGCTCTTTCCCTCTCCCAAATCACGTGCTGCCCTCTTAGCTTCCTCTTCTCTCTCACCCTCCTGTCCCTCCATCCCACCGCACCTGCTCGGCATTCTCAATGAGAACCGTGCCCTTGGTCTCCGTGGCTTGTGTGTCGATTCCCGACTTGTATACCGCAATCTTCTCGCTCACGCCCTCACCCCCATTCACTCACTCACCATCTCCCCCTCCCTCTCTACTCCCACCGCACCTGCTCGGCATTCTCAATGAGCACGGTGCCCTTGGTCTCCGTGGCTTGTGTGTCGATTCCCGTTCCAAACACCGCGATCTGGCCTCCACACCACACGTGCAACGATGGGCATCAAGACACACATACGTCCACGTCCACACACATGCACACAAAAACACAAACACAAACGTGCGCAAAGAAACACACGGGGAGCAGCACACACGAGTTGAAAACGCCTCCAACCATTCCTCCTCTCAAGATTGCAGCCAGGACGCTTGCAACAGCATGTGCGTCCTCGCTTGCAACAGCATGTGCGTCCTCGCTTGCAACAGCATGTGCGTCCTCACACATAGCCTAGAGGAGCCACAAGCACGGTCGTCCGCCTTGGACTCATGCAGCCCGCCCGTGATAATCCATTGATACGTTTCGATACCATACAGCACCGCACAGAGCCAAACAGCACCACACCAAGCCACACAGCACCGCACAGCACCCACCTTGGCCTTGGTGGTGTGCTTGATGGTCCCTGTGGCGTCCGTTTTGAGCACCATGCCTCGCACCACCTTGGAGTCATGCAGCCCGCCTCCCAGTATCTTGGCCACTCGCACATTGTCCACGTTGAAGTTGTTGGGGTTGCTGGGGCACACCTGCATGCACGCCTGTTGTGGGTGATGGAGGAAGAGGTGAAGAGGGGTGTGTAGGGATAGAGAGGGATGGAAAGAAATGGTTGAGGCCAGTAGCCCGCCGCCCAGTATCTTGGCCACTCGCACATTGTCCACATTGAAGTTGTTGCGGTTGCTGGGACACACCTGCATGCACGCCTGCAGAAAGGAGGCGTATGAAGGGTTATGGAGGGATGAAGAGGGATAGGGACGGATGGAAAGGGTTACAAAGTGGTCAGGTTGAGGCCAGTAGCCCGCATCTCAGTATCTTGGCCACTCGCACATTGTCGACGTTGAAATTGTTGGGGTTGCTGGGACACACCTGCATGCACGCCTGTGGTGCGGAGGGTTAGAGAGGATTGAAGAGGGATACAGGAGGGATGGAGAGGAATGGAGATAGGGAGACACAAAGAGGGAGCGATAGGGAAGCACTGAGAATAAGAAAAGGCGCAAGCAGAGGAGCGACGGTAGTCACATCACATCACATCAGCGAGAAGTGGGCAGTGCAGTGACAAGGTGGACGTGCTTTGCACCAGCTTTAGCAACAACTCCCACAAAGGAATCCACCCCCCCAGAAGCATGGTCCACAGCAGCTCACATCAGCAATGAGAGGGCACAGCACGGGCTCGCTCCCGAACTGCTTGCTGGCCACAGCCGCCACGAGGCGCTTCTCGACCTCTGCCTTGCTGCGCACGTCCACCTTGTCACTCCCCTCCGCCACCAGCGTCTCGAGCTCCTCCAACACCTGGGAAGCAGGTGATACGGGAAGGGAACGCATTGGGGAGAGACGTGAGAGGGGGTGGGGAACAAGAGGGTGCAGCATGGATAAGACACCTCTGCCTGTCTTGCTGCGCACGTCCACCTTGTTACTGCCCTCCGCCACCAGCGTCTCTAGCTCCTCCAACACCTGGTCAGTGGGGGCAGCGTATGCATGGGAAAGACATGGAAAAGGGACAATAAGGGTGCAGGGATGGATTTAACACCTCTGCCTTGCCGCGTACGTCCACCTTGTCACTCCCCTCCGCCACCAGCGTCTCGAGCTCCTCCAACACCTGTCAGGCAGCGGAGGGGGAGGCATGGGGGTGAGAGGGCGGGGGGATGATGGTGCAAGGGTGGCATAAACGCATTGCACGTCCACCTTGTCACTCCCCTCCGCCACCAGCGTCTCGAGCTCCTCCAACACCTGGTCAGTGGGGGCAGCGAATGCATGGGGGTGATTGAGAAGGGTCGGGGGATCGACTCCACACTGACCTTTTGTGCCAGCTTGAAGTTCGCCTTTTCACGCAGAGCAAGGGAACGCCACTTCTCGTATCCATCAAATCCAAACCACTCACCCTGAACCCCTAACCCCTCTTAAACCCCTCAAACCCCTCTCTCACCCCCAACCCCTTAAACCCTCACCTTCTCCGTCGCCCACCTCCTGCTGCTGCTGGGCGTCCCTTACTAGGAGCAATAGATTCTCACCTTGTCCGTCGCCTTGGCATATCCAGCGATGATTTCGCTCGGGTGCAGCCCTGAGCGAATGAGCTCCTCCGCGCTCGCCAGCAGCTCCCCCGCCAGCGACACCACCGTGTTGGCGCCGTCGCCCACCTCCTCCTGCTGCGGCTGCTGCTGCTGGGCTTCCCGTGCTGGAAGCAGTAGCATTCACGGTGCTGGGCTCTCACCTTGCCTCTCGCCTTGCCTGCCTCCCCTGCTGCGCTCCTCGTGCCCCCCCTACCCCTCCCACAATCCCCACCCCCCCCTCCCCTCACCTTGTCTGTCGCCTTGGCGTATCCCGCAATGATTTCGCTCGGGTGCAGCCCTGAGCGAATCAGCTCTTCCGCGCCCGCCAGCAGCTCCCCCGCCAGCGACACCACCGTGTTGGCGCCGTCGCCCACCTCCTCCTGCTGCGCCTTCGCCGCCAGCACCACCAGCTTCGCCGCCGGGTGCTGCACCTCCAGCTCCGCCACGATCGTCGCCGCGTCGCTCGTCACGAACAGCTTGTCAAGGTGGTTGATGATCATCTTGTTCATGCCTGGAATGGGGATGATTGGGAAATACACCCGAGATATGGGGTAATTTTAGAAGGGAGCTGCACCTCCAGCTCCGCGACTATCGTCGCCGCGTCGCTCGTCACGAACAGCTTGTCGAGGTGGTTGATGATCATCTTGTTCATGCCTGGAAGGGGAAGAAGGGGAATCACACCCGGAAAAAAGGGTAAGAATTGCGTTTGCCACACTCGGCCGTGTTAAAAAAACCTCACGCTTCGACCTTGCTCTTGGCGAGAACAGACCAAATTGAAAGGAAGCGGGGACCTGGAGGGAGTGTGCATGGCGAAACCGGAAGGAAGGATCGCATCCGCACTTGACAACCTTCACGTCTAGCTTTGTACAAATCTAGCCGTCTACATCTGCGCTAGCTCGCCGTTTTTTTAAGGCGCCTCGAAAACCTGGAGGGAGTGTGCATGGCGACGCCCGGAAGGAATGATCGCATCTACATTTGACAGCCTTCACACGTCTAGCTTTGTACAAATCTAGCAGTCTAGCTCTGCGGTAGTTCGCCGTTGCTAAGCTTTTTGAGGCCAACTCTTTGTCTCCAGAGGTCCTGACAACCGAGAATGCCGGCGGGTGATCTTCACGCATCCGCTTCTCGAACGTCGGTTGGCGATTCGACTTGGGCCGAAACTCCGTTTCGACGAATCAGGCGCGGCGAAACACGGATATCATCTTTCGAAACTCGACTAGGTTCCAGCAACGGTCACGGATCGTCGTCACATGGCTTGCTAAAAACTACCACCGCCAAGCGCTTGGGGATCAGATCCAGCTATCTCCTGATTAGCAACGCCTGTCGCCGAATTGCCGTTGCTGCGCCCCTGCGACGCATCGCGATCTACAACGGCTGCCTGGTTCAGTTATCGGCTATCTACCACATTCCAGAAGTACGGCTGTCATTTGCCTGTTATACGGCCTGAGATGAAAAACCGTATCATCCGTCACCAATCGTATACAACGGACCGCATTCAACGAATCGTGTACAAGAATGTAGGAACTCACCATTGGGTCCCAGCGACGTGCGCGTGATGTGGGAGAGCTGCTTGCACGCCTCGATGTTCTTCAGCACCGCCTCCTCTAACCCCGTCAGGTGCTCTTCAAATCAACTCAGCGTCACCTATAAGCACGTCCCCCTATAAGAGCGTCTCAATATAGGGATTTAGGGTCAACAGAAAGCGCGTCAACTCACCATTGGGTCCCAGCGAGGTCCGCGTGATGTGCGAGAGCTGCTTGCATGCCTCGATGTTCTTCAGCACCGCCTCCTCCAACCCCGTCAGGTGCTTGTGCCCTTCCTTGAGCAGCGACTGCAACCCGAATCCCGACGTCATCGCCATGCCTCCGATCCGCTAATCTAGGCTTCTGCGGTTTCGAATTCCGAGATTCGAGAAACGGGATGAAGAATCGGGATCGCGTAACGAGATCGGATCTGGAAAATGGCAAGCGATGCTGAGGTTTGAATATCTTGATTTCAAAGCTAGAAGCGAAGGCACGACTGGAACGGGTGGAACCAGGCACTAATCGGCCTAGATTTAGACTGTGCGGGCGTCAACCTTGTACGGTGATCGCGATCAGTCAGAGAACGAGATTCCTCACGAATTCCTGTTGCCTTGGTGCCCTGACTGCTTGTCGGCTTTGTCTCGCGATTGTGACTAGAGAACCAAGCAGAGCAGATCTCATTTGGCAGGATAAACGAGGTTAGACTCGATAAGGACTCAGGGACGTACACTTGTCTCGATCATATTTTTACAAAACAGACCTTACTACCAAGCACAAAAACGTTTTCACAACATTCCCTACAGAATTTCCTACAATTGATTGATCATATCAATCTGAGTGCCATTAAATTCTAAGCTACGTATGAGTGTGCTAAGCACAGTTTCAGTAAACTATGAAGATAACGAACAGGGCCCGTGCTAGGATTTGGGGCACCCTGAGGCCTCAGGGCACCTTTCCAGAATCGTAAAAAACGCCCTGATTTGTCAGGGCAAATTTTCGAAGCCTTCCTGTATGTTCAGGGCTTTTTCAGAAATCAATCCTGACCTGTCAGGGCAAAAAAACAAGAGTTCAGGGTTTAGATTGGTTGGTTGACAGAGTTTAAGTAAGATAACATACCTACGCCTGCACGGGGGTGGGTTCGGTCCCAGGACCTCTTCTATCGGAAATACCTTCCTACTGACTAGGCCACTTCTGGATGGTTAGCTGATTGAATGAGTGCTACACGACGACTTGCCTACGGAGACAAAAATCCCCGGGCGAAAATTTCCCCAGGAACGGGACTCCCCCCCCCCCCCAACAAAAAACGCGTCAGGGCAGGCCTCGGCATTCATCCTGACGCTACAGAGAAGAACACTACAGCCATTCTGAATGTTCAGGGCATTTCATATAAAAACATCCTGAGACCTCATGGTTAAAATTTACACTATTCTGAAATGACAGGGTAAATTTAAAACTGCATCCTGAATTCAGGGTAATCAGGATGTTTTGCCCTGATAACGTGGGGCCTGATAACGAAAGTGAGCATATTTTGTTGGAAACAACAAATCGTAAGCGCCTCTGTCGTGTCGAAACACCGCATCAGAAGCGAAGTAAATCATATCGAGACACTTGCGAGTCAACCCTCGGAGGTTGAGAAGTTGCTGGAGGTTACGCGAAAGTCAAAGGTCAGCGACCTTTGACCTGACAAGTACAGCGCGACAGCAAGGACACACAACTGACTCGCTACAGAGCAGTTGCCCGGGTCGTCACTGTATCGAACCGCAACAGCAACAGTAAAGTAGTTATAACTGCATCTCTTCGTATTCCTTGTACTCATATATAATCATGTATCTCCTTGTTTCAATTAATCTACTTTGCCTCACATACTAGCGCAAGGTGGTTCACAACTCTTTAATTAACGCTTCCGCTATTACAACAACTCTACCCAGAGTTCACCCCTGCAAAGATCCTAAGGGCTTTTCTCAGCCCAACATGGTATGAGAGCTATCAAGGGGAATTCAGCTTCTATACCGACAACATCAACAAGCATGGCTACACAAAAGGAAAGGAGCAACTCCAACGGCTCCCAGGGCACTACTCCTACTCCACCTCCTGCCTCTGGCCTACAGACAGAGGAGGGCACGGTAGAGCAACATCTACCGAGACTCCCGCGAGTCAGCCCGCAGACTTCGACCAGAGCATGATGGAGAAGTTCTTCTCCTTCATGTCCTTCTACGAGCAACACCAGCAATCGGCACCTGCGCAGTCACACAACAGCAACAACAACGGAGCAACACCCATTAGTCTAGACGGCTCATCATATGCACGAGGAAATCAACAGCAGCAGCCTACCTTTGCTCCGTACGAGCGCGGGTCCATCAGCTTCATGCCTCACCCGCAGCCCTCACCTGGACAAGAAAAGTCACTGGACGCATTACAAGTTCAGTCGCAGTTCGCACACGTTCTGAAGATGCAGACGTCAAGACCCTTCGATGGAAAGGATTTTTTCACCTGGTCGTTTGAATTCGAGTTGATGATGGAAGGCGCGCAGATACTTGGCTTCTTCGACGGGTCCCTGCCATACCCAACAAACGGCACACAGTACGAGAAGCAGCAGTACACCTATTAGTCAATGATGGCGTACACGATTCTACTGAGAAACATCACCCCGACTCAACAGCAGAACATACGATCTTACCGGGGTTACGGCAACTCCGCGGAGCTCGCATATAACCACTTGAAGAGCCTGTATCAAGCAACAGACAGCGTAAACCAAAGTCGGTTAATGGCGCAACTGACAACGGTCGAAATGAAACCAGGCGAGAAAGGATTGGCGTATATCAGCCGATGTCGCGAGTTGCGCGACAAGCTTCTTCGATGCGGAGGATCGATTTCTGAAGACGCCTTCGTGACAGTTATCATCGGCAGTCTCGGTCCTCAATGGCGCGCCACAAAGGCCATACTCCGAGCCCACGGAAGAATCTCCGAAGCAGCGCTCTGCGCCGAAATCCACGCCGAACAGCAAGACATGGACCTGCAAGAAGAACGACATAAAAGGAAGACATCAGCACCGGAATTCGCGTTCCACACTCAGCGACGCTACAACAACAACAACAACCGGCAGCAACAGCCGAAGCCCGTACCTCCGTTCTGCCACATCTGCAAAACTTCAGGACATCCGCGCACACACTGCCCAAATCGACAACAATCAACAACGCCACAGCGACAGCTTCGACCTTCAAGCAATCAAGTCGCTTCGACACAAGCAAATCCTTCGACCCAGATTCAAGCCTCAACGACTTCAACGGGACAACCTGCACAAGGAGCAAGAAACATCGTCAGCTGCATGGCAAGGCTGAGCGACTCTTGCATCACGGGATCACCACCATACTACTCACCAGAAGAACAACTTGATGAAAGAACTCCACGCCGTGAGACACTGGAGCCGAATCCGACATACGCAGCTATCGCCCAGAGCGAACCATCCGGGAAGGACACGTGGTTCTTGGACAGTTGCTGCGGACAGCACATGTGTTCTTCAGGACGCTTCGTGCAGCGAGAGTACCAACTCCAACGAGAAATCGTCATCACCGTCGCCAACAATCAGAACCTGCGCACACGACGACAAGGAGTCGTTCAACTTCAGTCACGAGAAACAAACGTCATTCTACAGATGTCCAAAGTCCTAATCGCAGAAGGCCTCGGCTACAACCTACTGAGCGTCAGTCAGTTGATGGCGAAAGGGATCCATCTTGAAGCAGACAGTACCACCCAAGAATTCAAGCTGTACCACGGGAGAGGAGGCCTTTACATCGGCAAGGCGGTCCTCAAGAACAACGTCTTCGTTCTCGACTTCGTTCCTGATCTCGGCACCGCCGACAGCGACGCCATCGTTAACTTCACCAACTGGACACACCCTCCAGATCTTGATCCAGACTTCAGTCCTGGCGGCTTCTGGTACTCACACACCATTCCTGAGACAGAAAGGACAAGAGCGTTAGCGACAATTCAACATGCAGCAGAGACAACGTCGGCAGCAGCAGAGACAACGTCGGCAGCAGCAGAGACAACGTCGGCAGCAGCAGAGACAACAACGGCAGCAGCAGGAACATCAACGGCAACAGCAGGAACTTCAACACCAGTCGCTGGTCCTTCAACGGCACCACTCCTCGACGACACACCACCGACACCCGCGCAACAGCTCAACCCGACACGACGAGAAGTCCACCGAAGCGCGAACGTCACCGCCGGCTTCTACTCCAACTCCGACATGTACCGACGCTCGCCCGGACACCGCGCCACCGAAGGAACCTGGCACGCAAGGATGGGACATCCAAGCCACATGGTGTTAAACAACACAATAAGAGCAGGAGTGCTCGACAAAGACTCACTTCTACTGATCGACGGCAGAGAACTTCAGCGAGCTCGAGGAACATGCTTCACTTGTCCTGAAGCAGATTTATCACATCAACCGTTTGTATCTCACCACAATCCAAGCGCACCAGCCTACGCACCACTCGAGAAGGTGTACAGCGACATCCTGTACAATCGCGAGCCGGGGCAGAACGCGTACAACTACACCATCACGTTCATCGACGCCGCGACACGTTACGTTTGGCACCTGAATCTTCCAAGCAAAGACATGGCGTTCGAAGCGTTCATCGCGTGGCTTCCTGCAGCAGAAAGAGAATCGGGCGTAAAACTAAAGAGTTTCCAGTCAGACGGGGGAGGAGAATACACCTCACAGAGGTTCAAGGACTACTTGGCAGAAAGGGGGATCAAGCGGCTCATTTCCCTTCCCTACGCTCATCAACAACAAGGCGTAGCAGAAAGGATGAACAGGACACTCCAAGCCACCATGCGCAAGCTGCTACGTGGCATGCACCTGCCCAACCACCAATGGCCCGAAGCAATGGACCACGCCGTCATGCTGCACAACTTGCTTTCGTCATCATCGCTCCCGAACAACGCATCACCGCACCTGCTGTGGACAGGAAAATTGGGCAACACAAAAATGTTGAGAGTCTTCGGCTGCATGGTACAGTACCGACCCCCATCTGCACGCGCCGGTCGATTCTCCCAGCGAGCACAGTGGGGACTACACCTGGGCCTCGAAAAACACTACAATGCATGGAAAATCTTCGACATCAACAGTAAGGAAACAGTCGCAGCACGTGATGTCATCTTCTACGAGAACCTCACCCTCGACGTTCACCTTGCGTACGCGGCAGCAAACAGACCCGATCCCTCGGGCGGATTTAATGGCACCCGTGCCTTCGCTTCGGCAGAAGATGAAGCTGACTGGGACGAGCAGAATGTGGACAGAGCCTCGGAAGAAGCCGGACCCCTCCCGTATTGC